AAATAGGACTTAGAGCTGCAGAGAAAGATACAACATTTTTCATGCAATCTGAATACTCTCAAAGCCTCACGCATCATATCATAGTGCTCAGTTCTCGTCTTCGTTTCCGTTCGCTGGAACTCTAAAGGTTGGTGTGCTACAACTTCTGAGTGTATTGCTGTTGTATCTTTGGGGACATTACGCACAGACCCGTCAGCACTATACGGGGCGTATTTGTCTTGCGGAAAGATTACAATCGCCTCGGCTTTCAATCTATCCGCATTTGAGTTGTAATTTTTATTTTGCTTTAGTTCTTCTTGTACGAACTGAATATTTCAGTCAGTTCATAGGTTCCCGTTGTAATTCAAACACTACTTTGTGTAACAATCGCAAGACAAATATTCGACACCTACTGAACTGATGGCATCCACTAGAGAAGGATCTAAAACTCAACCACCTGTCACCCCTGCTGTTCATCATCCCCAACATGTTGTTCATGTTCCTACTGCTGAGAAGCCCGAAAAATTCAACGGGCTTGATTTCAAGAGGTGGCAATAGAAGATGCACTTCTACCATACCACTTTGGGTTTGGTGAAGTACCTGAAAGACGATCCTCCTGTCGTGGCTGAAAATGAATCGAATGTTGAGCTGCGAGCTGCATACGATGCTTGGGGGCAAGGTGATTACCTTTGCCGAAACTATGTCCTCAACGGACTGAGTAACGAGTTGTACAATGTGTAGCTCAGTTGGATCTGCCAAGGAGCTTTGGGCTGCCTTCGAGAAGAAATACAAAACTGAGAATGCCGGGGCGAAGAAATTCATCGTCGGCAAATTTCTGGAATTCAAGATGGTCGACACTAAGGAATGTATCTGAGCGAGTCATTCCAAGTTGCGGTTGTGATCGAGAAACTGCCGCTGGGTTGGAAAGACTTTAAGAACTACCTCAAGCATAAGAGAAAGGAGATGAGTCTTGAAGATCTGGTTGTTCATCTTCGGATTGAAGAGGACAATCGGAAGTCTTCGGGGAAAGCCCCGATGATGGAAGATCGTGCCAACTTGTTGGAGCAAGGCAACTCGAGCAAAAGGAAGCCCCTTAACAAAGGGAAGCAGCAGCCTGCCAAAGTGTGGAAATTTACCGGCAATTGCCACAACTGTGGAAAGCCGAACCATATGGCTAAGGAATGCAAGAAGCCTAAAAAGGCTGGACTAAAGAAGGCACAACATAGTGCCCTCATTGCTGAACACGGCCCTGTGCCGAGTGAACTAACCGACATGGATATGTCGGCTATGGTGTTTGAAGCCAATTTGGTGGATAACCCAAGGGCGTGGTACATTGATACTTGTGCCACTCACCATGTATGTTCCGACAAGGAGTTGTTTTCTAACTACACTCATTCTACTGGTCAGAAGCTCCACATGGGCAACTCCTCCTCGTCTGATGTGGCTGGAGTTGGCACCGTGGTGCTGAAGCTTACTTCTAGAAAAGGAGTTGAAGCTTAAGGATGTTCTACATGTCCCAGACATCCGCAAGAATTTGGTCTCCGGATCTCTTCTTGTAGAGCATGGATTTAAGTTAGTGTTTGAAGCTAAGAAGTTTATTCTTAGCAAGTTTAGTACCTTCCTTGGTCGTGGCTATCTCGACAATGGATTATATAAGATGAATGTAAGAGCCGTGTAACCGTTTCTGCATGGAGTGCTCTGATTTATGGCATATTAGATTAGGACATGTGAATCTCATGCAATTAAATGGTTGATGAACTTAGAATTAATTCCTAATTCTAAGATTTAATCACACAGAAAATGTGATATTTGTGTTGAAGCCAAAATGGCTAAATTACCTTTTCACTCGGTGGTAAAAAATACTGAATCGTTGGGTTTAATCCATACTGATGTATGTGACTTGAAGATTGTGCAAACAAGAACGGGTAAAAGATATTTTATAACTTTTATTGATGATTGCACATGGTTTTGCTACTTAAATCTTTTAAGAAGCAAAGACGAGGCTGTAGAAGCTTTTAAAAATTTTAAGACAGAAGTTGAAAATCAACTCGGCAAAAAGATTAAAATAATCCGAAGTGATAGGGGTGGGGAGTATGTAGCTCCTTTTGAACAAATATGTTCGGAATATGGCATAATTCATTAAACGACGGCCCCCTATTCTCCACAGTCGAATGGTGTTGCTGAACGCAAGAACCTGACTTTAAAAGAAATGATGAATGCTATGTTGATAGATTCAGAATTACCCCAAAATATGTGGGGGGAAGTTGTTTTAACAGCAAATCATATTCTGAATAAAATACCACCTAAAGGGAAAAATGAGAATCCTTACGAAATGTAGAAAAATCGTAAGCCGTCTTAGAAATACCTGAAAGTGTGGGGGTGTTTGGCTAAGGTTTCAGTTCATGAACCAAAACAAATGAGAATCGGACCTAAGACGGTCGATTGTATTTTTATTGGATATGCGTACAATAGTACTGCATATAGATTTCTGGTTCATAAATCAGAAAATCCGGAGGTATCAGTTGGTACCACTATTGAGTCGAGGAATGCTATATTCTTCGAGAATATTTTTCCTCTGAAGGAAAGGGCAGAATCTAGTTCTAACAAAACGACGTATGAAACTGCTAGCAGTTCTGTACCAGATGGTACTTGATATAGGATATTATATCAAAAACTAAGCGGGACGACAGGAAAGGCGTGTGGCAGAAGACTTTATTTCTGGCAACTAATGAGGCATTATTAAAAAACTAAGCGGGAAATCCATCAGAGGGTCGATATCTGACACCATGTCACCCAGGAGGTCGATGAAGTACAAATTCACTCTTAGATCGAGTCATTTAGACTCGACCAGAGTGGAGGGACTAGATGATATAGGATATTATATACCCCAAGATAAACCGATCTGCTGAACCGGTTTGGAAAGTCATACCATGAAGGAATCGAGCCAGACAATGAGAAGATCGAGCAAGACAACTTGTCGACCAGTTAAATAGTCGACCAATCCATCACTCGACCAAAAAAACGATCGATCAACCTTATCGACCTCAGCAGGTCGAGCATCTCGCGGACTCAATACTCAACGGATCAGCCTAGTCACAGGCGCGTGTAAGAGTCTCCAACCGAATTCCAGGAGAATATTTACCCCATGTGCAGGAGGACACATGTCGAGAATGTATTGGGTGATAGCGATAACCACCTCTGACAGCTCCCAATGCCCCGCGCCACCTCTGACATGTGCGCGGAGTGTCAGAGTACGGACGGGCAGCTTGGGCAGGCAGCTCATCCTTATTTGGGCAGCTATTAGGGCAGGTATCTCACCCCTATATAAAGGGGGTGAGCCTTTCTCCATTAACACGATTTTTCCATTATTCACTTCAATATATTCATACACATACTGATTTAAGTATCGGAGGCTCTTCACCGGACACAACCCCCGGTGTGAGAGTTATTTGCAAACCGGACCAGGACGTGCACACTTGCATTATTGGCGCCGTCTGTGGGACTTTTGTTCGAAAGGTTGTGTTTGAAGCTCAGCTATGGCAGACGGAATTCCCAGAACCAACTTGCAGTCGACGTTCGATAACACTTGGACGACGATCAGGCCGATTGGACAAGGCCCTCCTCCGGGCTTCTCTGGCACTTCGCAGATGCCGGTCACTCCTACACCCGTCCTTCAAGGTGTGGGAGTGACGATGGTGATTCTCGGAGGAGAAGCCAGCTCCAGCCGTGCCGAGGAAGCTCGCGCAGCATCTGCGGCGGCGATGCCACCGCCGCCACCTCAAAATCCAGTGATGGTACAACCAGGAGGAGCAATGGTGCAAGAAGGAATGGCGACACAAGGAGGAGCACCACAACAAGCCGTCGCGCAAGTTCCTGGTCAACAAATGGTGGCGATGACCAGAGAGGAGATGCATAGGATAGCGGCAGCCGCGGCGGAGCAGGCGGTGCAGCAAGTCACGAGCCACACATCTCACGCCACCACCGCGCCGACCACGACAGTAGGAGGCTAAGATAAGGACGTGTCTAGTTATAGGGATGGAGGAGGTGGAAGATATCGTGCGATAGAGAGGATGGCGGAGTAATTGCGCCAGTTGCAGGAAAAGGTTGAAGGAAGGACGGAAAGGAGGGCTCGAGGACATCCGTTCTCGAGGGAGATTCTCGCACCCCCCCTACCAAATAATTTCAAGGAGACTAATCTGGTGTATGATGGGTCGTCTGACCCGTCGAGGCATGTGAGGACCTTTGAGAACATGACTGTATTGTATGGGTATTCTGATTATGTGTGTTGCAGGGCATTTCTATCGACCTTGCATGGGGGAGCACTTGACTGGTTTCATCAATTACCCCCGGGGTCGATCGCAGACTTTGAGGATTTTGCCAGCAAGCTTACCAATCAATATTCTAGCGCGGTGGCGTAGGAGAAGACATACTTGACGCCGATGGCGATGAGGCAGGGAGAGAAGGAGTCGTTGAGGAAGTATGTTGCTCGATATAATCAAACGTGCTTGGAGGTACACTCCGCGTTGGATGAGGTGAAAGCAGGAGGATTGATACGAAGTCTTCGAGCGGGGCCTTGTCAAACCTCCCTGGCAAAGACCCCTGCTCGATCATATGAGGACGTTCTGAAGCGATGCAGGAAATATATTAATTTGGAGGAGATGGAGATGGTGTTTGCAAAGCTGGAAGGGGCGGCTCGACCAGAGCCAAAGAAGGAAAAGAGCCCCCAAAGGGGAGGGTTGCCAAGGAGGAGTTCGCCCAAGAGGAGTGGGCTGCAAAAAGCATCGCCCAGGAGAGAAAGTCGAGACTCAAAAAGGGAGAAGAGGAACGAATGGCAGAGGAGGCCGATGTTGTTCGAAAGACAGAGGTACCATACTTTTACTCCTCTGAGGAAAGATTTAATAGAGGTGCTCGAGGCTATGGAACAGAAGATGTCAAGCGAGGATGTGACATGGCCGAAGACGAGGTTTATAGGCCCGATTTCCACCCAGGTCAGATATCTACTGCCGTTTCCACCGAGATTACGGCCATACGACGGAGAACTGTAGCCATTTGAAGGATGAGATTGAAAGGTTAATCCGGGCGGACACCTGAAGGAGTTCGTATATCATGACAGGGCGAAAGGAAAAGGGAGAAGAAGGTGTCGAGAGGAGTTCGAGGAGAGAAGTGATAGAGATGAGGAGGGAGATGATAGAGACCGACGAGATGGTCGAGGAAGGAGGCCGAGAAGGGATGGAGATAAAGGGGGTCAAGAAGGAGAAGCCCCATTGAAGAGAGGAACAATTTATATGATTTCTGGAGGGCCGATGGATGGCCACTCGAATCACGCCAGGAAGGAGCATGCTCGAGCTGTGAAAAGAAAGAGAGAGGAGGTAGGGATTACGGCTCGAATGCCAGTAATAAGTTTTAAGGCGGAGGATGCTGAGGGAATGGTCTTGCCACACAATGACGCTCTGATGATTACTGTGGAGGTGGCGGGATTTGATGTGAAAAGGGTGTTCATTGATACCAGAAGTTCGGTGGACGTGATGTTCTATGATTGTTTTGTGCAGATTAATAAGGAGTTGAACATGGAGTTGAAACCAGTGGCCACGGCGTTATATGACTTTAACGGGGGAGAGGTTATGCCGATGGAGGAGATTAGTCGAGAAAAGTTCGGATGGTGAGGTTTGTGGTCGTCGGGGCTGAGTCATCTTACAACATTATAATGGGGAGGACAAGCTTGAATGCATTCCAGGCGGTCGTATCCACGTACTACATGACGATTAAATATCATGTGGGCAAAAACGTTGGAGAGATTGCTGGAGATCAACTTTCCTCGAGGAGCTGCTACCAAACTATGGTGAGCAACAATAAACAGCTAGCGAAGAGGCAGGCTAGGCCAAAAGAGAAGGAGGTTAATCGACCAAGTGGGTCGAGGTCGAAAGAAGATAGGCAGAGGTTGGAGAAGGGAAAAGAGAAGGTAGATATCCGGCCAGGGGAGGAGGTCGAGGAAGTTCACATGATCGAAAGATGTGAGGAGAGGAAATTCAGAATTGGGAAGGATCTGGAAGAGCCCATCCGATCAAGGTTTATTTGCCTGGTTAGGGAGTTTGCGGATATTTTCGCGTATACAACGGAGGAGTTGACGGGAATAAATGCGGAGGTGATTGAACACCGGCTGAACGTCGACCTCAGCGTGAGGCCGGTGAAGCAAAAGAGGAGACATCATGGAGCGAAGATGGATAAAATTATCGAGCAAGAGGTGGAGAAGCTGTTGAACGCAGGGCATATCAAGGAGATTCAGTTCCCAGAATGGTTATCAAATACAGTGATGGTGTCAAAGGCGGAGGGAAAGTGGAGAATGTGCATCGACTTCCGTGATCTGAACAAAGCGTGCTCGAAGGTCTGTACCCGTTACTTAGAATCGACCAGTTGGTCGACTCGACGGCTGGGTGTGAATTGTTGAGCTTGATGGATGC